GTGTGTGTGTGTGTGTGTACTGGAGATGATCTGAAAAGAACTATGAAAAAAGAAATAGTCTTAAAGTAGAACTGGCATGAAAGTTTGGTGGGTAAAAGCCCTAGCCTAGGTTTGATGACCAGAGCTCAATCCCAGGAACCCATTTAAAGGTGGAAGGAGAGGACCAACTATAGGAGGCTGTCCTCTGACTTTCACATACATGCTGTGGACCAGTACCCATCTCTTCCCCCAACACACATAACCACACAAATAATAAAATTAGAAAAAGAAATGTAAATACTTCAAATATTAGGGTAAATACCAGAGTAATTCTATTATAAAGGCACGACTTCCTTCCTATCAATAAAATATACTAGCTCAAAATTTTTCAGTAGACTCTATCTCTGGTTTTATAACAGAAATTGAGCGACAAATAAAATGCAGTTTTTCACGTTTCCTTACTATTATTTGGAGCCAAAATTAAATACGTCCATAGAAATTCAAGTTAACTTAGTATTTCCTTCCTTCCCACGCTCACCCACCCCAGGCTGGCCTGGAACTTACTATGTGGCCTTGAATTCACAATCCTCCTCCTGTCTCATTCTCCTGAGTGCTGTGATTTCAGGAGTGAGCTACCACATACAGCTGAATAGTATTTTATTTTCCTATGTATAAAACCATTTTTTTTAAAAAATTCTATTTATTTTTATTTTATGTGTATGTGTGTATAGCCTGCATGTAGGTAAGTGCACCCGTGTCGTGCAATGCCCGTGGAGAACAGAAGAGATTGTTGGACCCCCTCTGGAACTGGAGTTACAGACAGTTGTCAGCTGCCATGTGGGTGCTAGGATTCGAACCTGGGTCTTCTGCAAGAACAGTCAGTGTTCTTAACTGCTCAGCTCTCTCTCTATCCCCTAAAACCATTTTTTTAAAGTAACCAAAATATACTTTTGATCTATACTATTTTGACATATTTATAACCAACATCTTGAAAGGTTTCCATTATAAGCAATTGAAATTGGGAGTTTTTACATTATTTTTCCTAATTATGGAGCCAGTATATATTCATTATAGAGAACTTCTAGTAAAGTACAAAAAGAAAAAATCTCCTACAATTTTAACTAGAAACTGGGCATTGTAACCATTTTATTTCTTCTACAAGTACTATCATACTTATTAGTAATAATGCTGTTTCAATACTTAGTAACAACTTCCGTTACAGGTTGGATTTGAAGTGCCCCCTCAACTCCCCAAAGCTCATATATTAGCCAAGCCTGGTTGCATAAACTTGTAGTCCTAGCTATTCAGAAGACTGAGGCAGGTGGACCACAAGTTCAAGAGCACTCCAGGCTACAAAGTAAATTCCAAGCACAACCTGAGCAACTTAGTGAGCTCTGTCACAAAATAAAAAGTGAAAGGAAGGCTGCGGATACAGCTTAGTAACAGAGCACTTGCCTGTAGAGCCTACACACTGACAGGTATCTGTATCATGAGGACTCTGACCTAATCAACAAATTAAACTGATGGATTTGTAATGATGGTTTTACTGGGAGATGAAACATTTGGAGATGAGACCAGTTGAAGAAAGTAGAGCTATGTTCTCAGGGGCTATACCATGTCCCAATCTCTCTCTCTGATTCCTGGCAACTATGAGGTGACCAGCTCTGCTCTGACATGCCCTCCCATCATGACATTCTGCTGTATCACCGGACTAAAAGCAATGGAGCTGATAAAGCAATCCATGAACTGAAATCTCTACGACTATGAGCCAAACCACATATTTCCTCATTCAAGCTATTTCCTTCATGTATTTGTAACAGCATCAAAAAGCTGACAAAATTTCCTATGAGCTATTCATCTAAGAGCTTTCTAAATGCTATTTCATGTTCTCCTTACAGCAATCCTATTCAAGTCATAGGTGAATATCATTTTACAGTTGTAACTGTAGACTTAAAGAGGCTAGGAAATATGCCCATGGTCACAGAGTGACCTAAGCCCAGCAACCCTGAACACCATACTATACCATAATCAACACATAATATAGACACAGTTCTATATTCTTCTCTTTGATCATAATTTCCTAATGCATAAAAATTATGAATACAGTTTTTACATGGCTATTTGCTAACATTTGGATATATAATAATTTACTTAATAATCCGGACTTACCAGATCAGATTATTTTTGTACAATATTCAGAACTACTAGTATGGTTCATTTACTAGGAAAAGAAAAGGGTAAAAATAGGAATTGTTTCACACTTCCAAATGTAAATTCAAAGATATAATTCAACTTACTCTTTTACTGAGGCAAATAACTGGCCACATACTGCAACCTAATGTGCAGCAGCAACAAAGGCAGCCACAGAGCAGCCAGCGTACATTAACAGGAAGGTTCTTCTTAAGACAGCTGTTAACTCTGTTGATGCTGGCTTTAAATTCTTCAGGAGCTACCTAAAGAAAAAGTGTAAGAAATCATAACATGGGGATAATTGAATGACAATAAACATTAAGTCTTAACACACAATTTTCTAATTGTCTAGGAAAAACTAATCTGAGATGTATAAATAATAGATTTTAATAAGGGAGATACTTACTTTTCCAGTTAATGAAGAAGGGAATTCTGATTCAAATCTGTTGCTCAGCCCAAATCTATTTTTAAAATAGAAAGAATGTTATTAATTCTATGTCATTGTTGCAACAACAAAGAAAGAAACTTGGACCATTTAACTTATAGCTCAACTAAATAGAATGCAGACTGCTCTACAGAGAAAGTCTATGACATAATGAGATCATCATAATAAGAAACTTATGAAATGTAAGAAGCAATTATTTTTCCAACTGAATCAAAACTTTATTATATAAGGTGCAATGTTAATAATCAACCATACATAAACACTAGAATAGATGGCTCATTTAATTTGAGCTACCATTTATACCTTTAAAACATCAAACATGTTTTAATAGGTCAGATAACAAATCTTCTAGCTTTCAATGTTATTAGTGGAGATAAATGGTTGTGGACTTTAGAGGATGTTCTTTATAGATACAAGTAATAAGAGGACAAGGGAAAATGTAGGAAGGAGGAAGAAGGTAGAGTAAAATAAATAAGGCAGAGACTGACAAAGCACTATTAAGATCTGTCTTGGATGGTTCCGCAGGTAAAGGTCCTTGCTGCCAAGCCTGACAACCTGAGTTTGATCTCCAAGACCCACATGGTAGGAGATAACCAACTTCCATAAGTTGTTCCCTGATTCTACATGCACCATGTCATACCCTTGGCCCCTCCTTAAATAAATAAACGTAATTTTAAATTAAAATTTTAATCAATTTTTTATTTTATGTGTATGAGTAGTTTTGCCTGCATGTATGTAAGTGCATCTTTGTTGTATAATGCCCACAGAAGCCAGTGGAGGGAGTTGAATCCCCTGGATTTGGAGTTAAAGACAGGTGTCAGCCACAAGGTGGATGCTGGGAACTAAACTTGGGTCCTCTGCAAGAGCAGACAGTGCTCTTAACCACTGAGCTGTCTCTCCAGTTCCCCAATTTTTTTTTAATGTGTATGAATGTTTCACCTGCATGTAAGTGTACCCATGTGTGCTGTGCCCAAAGAGGCCAGAAGGTGGCGCTGGATTCCCTGGAACTAGAATCAAGGACGGTGCCAGCCACCATGTGGGTGCTGGGAACCGAATTTGGGTCCTCTGCAAGAGCACAGTGCTCTTAACTACTGAGTCATCTCTCTAGCCCATGATTTATTTATTTTTATTTGTACAAGTGCCTGAGTGCCTCTATGCATAATGGCATGTGTATAGTGCCTGTGAAAGCTGAAAGAAGGCAACAGTGGGGTGCTGGGAACTGAACTCAGGTCCTCTAAAGAACAGCAAATGCTCTTAACCACTAAGCCACCTTCCCAGCCCCTAAAACAAAATTAAAGAACTGTCTTGGGTGTCGTTTAATAGCTATTTGTTAGTATGATTATGAAAGAAAATATAGATACCAGTTATATCTATACCTACTCTTATTACCT